AAAAAAAAAAAAAAAAAAAAAAAAAAAAAAAAAAAAAAAAAAAAAAAAAAAAAAAAAAAAAAACACAATTCATTAATAACTTAAAGTTCAAACATTTCAAACCCTAAATCTTTTCCTTTTGGGTCGCCCAGAATTACAACAGGGAAATAATAGAGCTAAAACGAAAAACCTGCTAAACGGCGTCGTATCCAAAGTGAATGAGAGAAATCAAGCCGACCCACCGGACCCAATTCCGCGTCCAATACATAAATACAACCGTAATTATAGGAATCTAAGAAAACAAGTTTGAATTGAAGAAACACTCTCACAATTGGATCTAAAAATACAAAACTTTTTTTTTTGTTAACAACACATTTCATATCAATAAACTGTATCTGCTCCTTCCACGGGTATGTTTTTGGACCAATTAACGCAGTAGTAACCATATGTAATGACTTGGAGAAGACCTGAAATCACTCCAACACCATTGTTTATCTGCAAGATTCAATTCATATCATATCCATATATTTATTTATAAACATTTGTGGACATAATTATAGGTACCTGCATGTAGATATCATGTTTGAGAATGGCATAAGCTGTCCACACACAGGCATTGAGGAAGCTTGTGAATGAAACAGCCAACGAAATATGTTTTACACTCTTTGTTGTTACCATCTCCATCTATAATCAATCAATCAATCAATGAAGATATTATTAATTCTTAATTTGGATGATGATATGTTATTAACAAAATCACTTACCACGCCGGTGAGAGAAGAAATATAGATCACCATATTGAAAGTATTACAAATAACTCCCATCATCAGCGATCTAGTTTTGGTTTGTTGCAAGAGTAGCATTGTGATAGCAACAATGATTGCCATAAATATGAGCTCCATCACAACCCAAATACCCAATGTCTTCTGAAATCATAAGACGAACCCCAATTATGGTTAGTATGAATATGACAAGAAAAAGAAGAAATTAATGAAAGAAAAATACCCGTTGTTTGTGATGGGCAAAAATGGAGAAGATGGCTAAATAAAGGAGTTGAAGAAGCAAGCCAATAACATTAACTGGGAGGAGCAGAATGTGGTCGGGGTGAATAAAGGGCATTCTATAGAACACCCAAAGCATAGAGCTTAGAAGATTTGCAAGGTGAGGATGTAGGTGGAAGCCCTCCACCGAGTTGGTGTTTATGATTTTGTAAAATGTTGGCCTGATAAATGGAGAAATGTAAACAATAATATTATTGTGTATGGTTAAGGGTAAGAAACAAAGAAGGAACAAGAGATAGCTTACAGTGGAGAGAAGAAGAGGGTGAAGGAGATGAGATTGCCGAGTATGGCAACCATATTCTGAGCAACAGTGGCACTCACCATTTGTGTTGTGGACAAGAAATTGAAGCACAAAGAGCAAGGGGAAAATAATTGATACAAAGCTAAGAAGAAGAAGAAGAAGAAGAAGAAGCGTGGGTGACAGCTAACTACGGGGAAGCCCGGGAAGGAAAAAAAAAGCTGAAAGGTGGGTCCACTACAACAAATATGATTTATTATAGCTGTTTTTTTTTTTTTTTTTTTTTTTTTTTTTTTTTTTTTTTTTTTTTTTTTTTT